CATGAAATACTTGCTCTTCTTTATGCTTCAAAGTTAATTTGTAAATGTATTCTCAAAACAACTGCTGTGATGTCCCGAATGTATCTCTGCCTGTGAGGAAATAATTTTAACTCAAGCAGTAGTAGCAAATCCTAAGAAAACATTAATGTTTTTCCAGAGGACAAAGGGTTCAGAATATGTTTTTCTGCTGTTAGAGGCACCAGAGCACTTCTTCAGTGCAGCGACCACAGTCAAAATGCATAAAGAGTTGCCGTGTTTAGAGCACTGTCATTCAATAACATAATTTTCCAATTTTTTTAAACCAAGAAGTTTTTGTGTTTCTTTATAAAGAAAGCGCTTCTGTAAAGAAAGTCTGTGCTCCTTCTGTTTATCAGCTATATGTGCATGCCAGAAATCTCTGCCAACTACTGCTTAATGTAATTAAATAATTAAAAATTAAAAATATTCTGATTATTGACTAGCTATTTTGTTTTGAATCTGTCAAAAGAAGACAGACAGCCAACAGGATGAACAGATGAGAACACACAGTAGCCTCAACAAGGCCGCTGCTGGCTGTATGAAATAGCGCAGGGGAAGAGTGCAGGGAGCATGCACTGTAATCCAATTAATTTTCTATTAAAGGACATGTAGAGAACAAGCAGCAGCTGAGCACAGGTCCCATTTCCTTCTTCTTCTCATAGAATCTAAGTTTTAAAAGTATGACTGCAGAAAAGTGGAACATTTCATGGAAAAACAACAGATTTCTCAGTATGCTGGATATGTCAGATTTCTTCAGGGGGGCAAGGTGGCAGTGATGCTGCTCCTGAATGGGAAACTTTAATTCTTCCTGCAGCTGCGTTACTGTAGGCTCTCTGCAGATCCAGGTAGGCTATTGCTCCTGATCTCCCTGTTTTTGTAGCTCTCCCCACACAGACAGACAATAAACTTCTGTGTGTTCCCTGTGGCATTGCTACCCACACATCAAGAACCCCTGATTAGGCGAAGTGGTGTGTCTGGTTTCGATGAAGCACAAGCTGTGGAATCTTCAGAAACCAGGCTGAAACGGCACTGAAGCCAGACTTGTTTCAGTGAAGGAGTCTGTTTTGAATTATGCTTCCTATTAGCGGTAGATTTAAAAATTAGGGAACTATGAGTAAATCTGGAACTTAACAAGGCTTAAAATAGGCCAGGGTCACAAATCTTGCTAACTGTGTGATGGGCTGGTCTTCAGTGCAACAACAAGGATGTCTTTAAGGAAAAAAGTAAGTACAAAAACCCAGACCAACTAGAGTATGGGGGGTGGGAAATAATAAGGGTAAGTTATTTCTTCTCATTTTATGTTCTGAAACTCAAGGAAAGCTCATACAAATGGTAAACATATGGAATAAATTATCAGGAAAAGTGATCTCAAAACAAAGACTACAACAGAGTTCAAGTGACACCCTTGACTCATTTCTGGAACAGAAATGGATGGAGCCATAAAGTCAACACAAGAAAGTAGGATTATGATTAACCTGAAAAAGGGCAAGTAAATTAAAACTACAAGCCATTTTCCCGTTCCTCATGGCAGCTTCCCAAATCTGCACATCTGAAATGTGTAATTTAACATAAGCCCAAAGAGCCCTCCTTGCCAACCACAGAAAAATTAATCAAACATATTCTTGTACCACAAGAGTAGGAAGTATTTACACAAATAAAGAGGCAAGATCTATTTATACACATGTGCACCCAGATGCATGTGCATGTTTATTTTGAAATTAGATAACTAACATAAGAATCATTATACAGGTCAGTTTAGTTAACTGCTTGAGTTTCAGTCAAGGTGGCCATAAAATCAGGTAATAAAGCTGCAATGCTTTGAAAACCCAGATGTATTTGAAATGAGGTGTTCCATGTAATTAAGAGAGATGTGAGAGGTCAGGAGAACAATATAATCTAACACCACATCTACATTGCAGACTTCAGCTGGCACTGCTACATCAAGCAGAAGTACGAAAGTCTTTAATACCTGACTGATACAGCTGTACTGCCAGCTGTGCCACAAGTGTTAATATAATTACACTGGTATAAAGGTGATATTTCATTAATATAATTTCTTTTCCTTGCTGTTTTTCCATGCTGGTATGATACACAGATGTGCTAATGTAACTGCAGCTCTAACACAAACACTTTCTGCAGTAATAACACAGATATAGCCAAAACCACCAAGGTCACAGAAGCACATGCTAAGAGTTTACTTTGACTATTTCTACACTAAACATATTACATCACTGATGTGCTCCACATACATACTACTAAGGATTTGTGGGAAAAATATATCAAAGCTGCCCCATAAGCAAACCTTCTATAAAGTCATCCCTTCCAGCAGCCCAGCTGCATTGCTTAGGGCCAGCATCTCTTCCTACCTCTGCCCACACATCTGTGCTGACAGATGCCAATACCAACAGGCCTGTTCCCATTGCTTCACTTTCCATTCCTCATTTCACTGCATGCCTTGTGCGTGCATGCCATTTCCTCCTATTCTCAAGTTCCCTGGCTTGATTTTGCCAGCTGCAACCGTTGGGGCATCAGCACAGCTGTGGCACGAGGCTGGGCTGTGGTTTGCTATCCCATATATCCCATACCCTGACACTGGGAACGATGGCAGCTCTGCTATCCCACAGCCAGCCGCTGGCAATGACCGCGGGCAGAGCGGGAAGAGGGGCAACCGGCAGGGCCTTGCTGAATGCCAGGGCCAACATTCTCTCCCTTACTCCCTCAGCAGCGCCATCCCGCCTGCCACCAGGCGAGCTAAGGTCAGCACCGTGCCCCGAATGAAGGCTGGAAATATACGTGGAAGAAATCGGGTCCAAAACCTACCACCCTCCATACCCAGCCCCCCCTCCACAGCCCTGCCCGCCCCCGGGAGAGCGGGCCTTGGGTTGGGAAGGGCGTGACGGTTGGGCGGGACAACCAATGGACCAATCAGAGAGAAACTTCCGGGAATTCTCATCCAATAGTCAACTTCTAGTTGGCTTCGGGGAGGAGGTGAGCAGACGCCTAGCGCTGAGCGCCATGTTTGATTCTGGCAAGAGGGATGGGCCTGCGCGGTGCCCTCACGCAAAATGGCTGCTGGCAGAGGTCACGTGGGAGGCAGTCCCTCGTGGCGGGGGCGTTGCTAAAGGGGACGCACGGCAGCGGGGGGGCGTGATACGCATGCGCGGCTCTGGGGGGCGGGGGGAGGCGAAGGGAAGGCG